CATTATTCCATGTGTCAGGTATGGTACTATGGGCTACAGCTTAAATTTTAAAATAATATTGATGCTAGTATCCTTATTATAGCAAGCATGTAATGATGACTATGTATTGGTCACTATTCTGAGTGTTATACATAATCGATCACTATGAAGTAAGTACAATAATAATGACTATTTAAAGATGAAGTAACTGAGGCACAAAGAGGTGATATAACTTGACCAAATTACCCATGTAATACATGTTAAATCAAAATTTTGACTCTGCATAGTTCCTGTATTTAATCACAATATGGTACAACCTTGTGAGAGTCCATTACTTCATTTATCATATATATATGCAAGTTGAGTGTGATTAATATATATTAATATATATAGTGTCATTATTAGACTATGTCCAGGGCAATGAAGCACAGAACACAAGAGAAAATGATGGGTCATTGTTGTGAAAGGAGGCTTTCTAGTCATGGAAAGCATTACAGAAGACCTCATATTTTGAATTGATGCTACATAGACAGTACCTGTTTATCGAGTGGTCAAGAGAGGACAAAAGAGGTAGAAGGAGTGACTTTAAAAAGAGATATATAATTTTTTAAATGAGAGATGTGAATCTAAATGACATAGTTTGTGGCTTGCACATCATTGGGCTAGTTGCAGACCAAGGAACAAAAGGAGATTAAACCGGTGAGATGTGCACCCACAGTGCCGGAACATAAAAGAGTTTATTTACAAACAGTGCTCAGGAATTTTCATTTTTTCTGGATGCAATAGGAGTGCACTGAGTGGTTTAAAGGAAACTACAAAGTGCATTTAAAATTCACCACTCTGACAAACATTGAAAACACCAATTGTAAAAGAATGGCATAGAGGACGAAAAAGCAAGTTGAGTGTGATTACTGAGAGACAGAAGTCAATGATAACTAGTTCAAGTGATTGAATAAAAGGAAGAAGTATCATCGATTGATGGAGGAAAAAGTACATGGGCAGAAGTGCAAGTTTCATGTAGAGAGGGAAGATATAACTTTTGATATTGGAGATGTCTTCAAAAGATGTAGACAGACACATTAAGCAAAAGGATTGAATTTATAAAAATATTATTTTAGCTATACATCTCTTACCATTCTATTATGGATAAGGAAGGGGCCCATGTGTTTTAGGGAGATGGAGAGTTGTTTTCTTCACTGGTATAGTCACTGATAAGCTGTCCTTGTGCAAGTATATAATCTTCACCCACACTTAGGCAAGAAACTTTGATTAAACTCAGTGGGCTACATATTTAAAAAAGACATGAAAGTATGACAACAGTCACTTGTTGAAAAGAAGGGTCCTGGGGGAGGGAGAGTAGGATAAGAGATGGGAATTGGGTATGAAAAAGACTAAAATGCATTACATAAATGTATGAAATTGTCAAACAATGAAAAATTAAAAGAAGAATAAGAATAAAAATTAGTTAAATAAAATGTAAACTTGAGAAAAATGCTTGGCAACTTGTTCAGATGACAAGAATGTAGAAAATGTTAAACAAGCCAGAACTCCATAGACTACCAATGTGTCTTTAGCATGATAGAGTTCTTTTTTTAAATATTTATTTTTGTTTTAGATGCGTGAGTGTTTTGCTTGCATGTATATAAGTGCCTTGTGTGCGTGTAATGCACACAGAGGTCAGAAAATGGAGTCACATCCTCAGTAGGTGCAATTACAGACAGTTGTTATCTGATATGTGTTTCTGGGAACTGAGCCTGGGTTCTCTGCAAGAAGAACAAGTACTCTTAACCATTGAGCCATCTTTCCAGCTCCCATGATAAGGTTCTTAACATTGTGCTAAAACTTGCCTTTTATAATTGGGGATCTCGCTCAGTGGTCAAATAGTTACTTAGTATGTAAAGGCTCTGGAGTCAATTCCCAACACTGCAAAGAAATAAGAAAGAAAGAAACATACACACACACACACACTTCTCTCTCTCTCTCATATTATATATATATATATATATAATATGTATTGACTAAATAGTGATTCTATATCAAATATTTTTCCCTCAGACCACATATATCTCTTATATGTCCTTCCTGA